CTCCAGCAGGCATAGAAACACAACACGATCATCTGAAGAATACACAAATGGCTTTTGCAAGAGATTTGCTGTACTATTGCATGTACTCTCCTCCTGGAGGAGGCAGTTTCCTGTCTTATTTTCGCACACAGCTGCCTGCATGCAAATATAAAGTAATTTCTTAAATGTTTCTATAGCTGCACATGAATATAAATGCAGCCTCTTTAATCATTATTTACAGAGTATGGTATTTGTCAAGTACCTGCAAGTTTTCCTGTGAAGCTGCAAATTGAGCCCATGCTAAAGAAGAGCCTGACCTTATTCATGACTGAGTGTAAGCTGCTCCTAACACAGTGAGAAGGACCTGCCAACACTAAGCAATGCATTTGATTTCCACAGCATCCCGTCGTGCATCATCATTTCTCAGAAAAACAGGAAGATTAAATGTAGTATTCATGAGCAGAATACAATCACTTGACAGTAATCGGTGAGTAATAAGCAAACTTTCAAACAAGCACCACAGAGGGCCTTGGTGGAGGGAAAGGGAAGCTAAGAAGTAGTCCCACCATTAACTCAGGATGTAACCTGGGCAGCACAGTGCTCCTGCGGGCCTTGCTGAGGAGCCCGCTCGGAAGGCTCACTGAGCACGGAGCTGACATACTGTGCTGCATACTCTGGAGGTCACACGCTCACTAGGATTTTTGTCAGCAGAAAAAAAATGTCTAAACTGTCCCCATCCCCTCCTGGTTGCTCATTTCCACCATCCAGGTATCTCCCAGCATAGGCCAGTACAGTAATTTGTGCAGTCATAAAGACAGACATGATCAGAAACAAACAAAAACATCAGAAAGATACCATCCAAACAATTCATTAGCTACCACTATGAAAATCATTTTCGCTGCTTTACTTTGGATTAGAAGAAGAAAACTAGCTACTACTGAGAGCATCACCATTCAGATACTTGTGAGTGGGACCACACTGTGGACTGGGTACTCAGAATGTACAATACCCATCTCAGGCGTAAACATTTTCTTACCATATTGCAATTTGTGCAATGGTCGTAGTAGAGTACTGTTTGGATAAGTAAATATTGCCAGTGTGAATGCTGCTTGAGATTACTTTAAGCTCTCACATTTTTTCGGAACATAATATTGATCATCTTGGTTTTCCACACAAAAAAACCAAAACACCAAACTCTTTTTTTCCTTAAGTTATTTAATCCTTGAGATGAACCATGAAAGGAGAAGAAAAGAAAAAAAAAAAAGGGCAAAAATAAAAAGCTCTACTTACCTCTGAATTTAATTCCAGAGAGGAAGAGGTCCTACAGCCACTTCATACTTTTGTACACACAGATCACCCACAGATAGATCAAACACGGATTTGCAACCTACCCTGCAAGAAAGATGATAAAAAAATGTTTCCCTCCCAACAGACACTAGACATGCTAAAAATGTAGCTGGTCTATGATCAACAAAGGAAGTTGAGACCCAACAAAAGACAGGTTAAACTGAGTAACCTACAACAAATCCAAAAGCTCCCAAAGGTTTAGCTCCCCTCATTAGGTCCCAGAAATCAGGTGTTCTGCCTAAATTTCTCCAGCGGTCCCACCTGCAGGAAGCATCTAAAAGATGTCATTTATTCCTGCCAGTGCCTCATTTTTGAGAAAGGCAGGATGTTAGACACTACATGTTCCCAGATCATCTAGAGACTCACACTAGCAGCTACTGCTCAGTAAACGAGTTTGGACGAGCATCCCGTGGAGGCAGAGGAGCGGCAGTACTGGGCTCTGGAGTGTTCAGCACAGGGCAGGTGCTGCAGCATCGAACTCACAGGCTTCCAAGCCTTTCATTAGATTTAGCCCTGAATTACCAAAAGCATAAAGGGAAAAAATAAAGATGTGTGGTGGGTTAACCCTGGCTGGATGCGAGGTGCCCACCAAAGGCATTCTATCATCTCCCCCTGAGCTGGACAGGGGAGAGAAAATATAACAAAGGGCTCGTGGGTCGAGATAAGGACAGGAAATATCACTCACCAATTACTGTCATGGGCAAAACAGACTCAACTTGGGGAAAATTAACTTAATTTATTGCCAATCAACCAGAGTAGGGTAATGAGAAATAAACCCAAATCTTAAAACACCTTTCCCCCACCCCTCCTTCCTTCCCAGGCACAGCTTCACTCCCAGATTCTCTACCTACCCCCCTCAGCGGCACAGGGTGAGGGAGAATGGCGGTTGGGGTCAGTTCATCACACATTATCTCTGCCGCTTCATCCTCTTCAGGGGCAGGACTCATCACACTCTTCCCCTGCTCCAGCATGGGGTCCCTCTCCCAGGCTGCAGTCCTTCAGGCACAGACTGCTCCAGCGTGGGTCCCCCGTGGGGTCACAAGTCCTGCCAGAAAATCTGCTCCACGGTGGCTCCTCTCTCCACGGTGCTGCGGGTCCTGCTGGGAGCCTGCTTCCCACGGGGTCCCAACCTCCTTCGGGCATCCCCCTGCTCTGGCGTGGGGTCCTCCCCGGGCTGGAGGTGGAGATCTGCTCCCCCGTGGACCTCCCTGGGCTGCAGGGGGACAGCCTGCATCACCGTGGTCTTCCCCACGGGCTGCCGGGGAATCTCTGCTCCGGCGCCTGGAGCATCTCCTCCCCTCCTTCTGCACTGACCTGGGGGTCTACAGGGTTGTTTCTCTCACATGTTCTCACTCCTCTTTCCAGCTGCATTTGTGCAGGTGTTTTTTTTCCCCTTCTTAAATACACTCTCCCAGAGGCACTAACCCTGTCACTGATGGGCTCGGCCTTGGCTGGCGGCGGGTCCATCTTGGAGCCGGCTGGCATTGGCTCTGTCGGACACAGGGGAAGCTTCTAGCAGCTTCTCACAGAAGCCACCCCTGTAACCCCCCCCACTACCAGATCCTTGCCATACAAACCCATAAACACATTATGTCACAGTGTTACAGCTATATTGCATAAATGCAGCAATCAGGAAACCACTGCTAATTAACTTGAGGAGCAAAGTCAAGTCCCTCAGCAATCCATTCTTGCAGTGGGATGTGCTCCTATCCCACGTGTTGGTAGATGGGAATTAAAACAAAAAATGGAAAACTAAATCAGTACTTTGATCTGGAAGAGGTGAAAAGCTGTTACTGTGCATTTTTAAATTCTATTAAGTAGACTGCTACAGGATGGCCAAGCCAAAAACCCAACTCATTTAGAAGTTTTTATATATACTTTCAGGATAATCTACTTTAATTCATCATTATCTTAAAACAAATAATGGGTATTCCCTAACCTCTCCCCTAAACTCTTCTTAATTGTTAAGAATCTCTAAAGAGGATAGAATTGAGAGAGCCATTTGTAAAAAATCTTTTTGCCAAGATAACCGTCACAGTAAAATATTCCTTAATGTTTACTGTATAGCCTTCTAACTGTATCATTACCAGAATGTAGTTGCCAGTTAAATATTAAGTTGCCCTGTGGAAGAGAATAAATATCCAGTATTGAGGGGTTTGTACAATTCTGTGTTGTATTTCAAAACCAGAGGTGTTGTATAAAACCATTACATGATGTTAAAAATCGGAACTGTGTTGCAAATAATACACTATTGGGTGACTTCTGCAACACTCAGATTTATTCCATGTCTGAATGCACAGTAAAAGTAGAGAGATAGGCTGCAAAAAGGCGGTTTGTCACATCTCTAGAGGCATACTGCGTTCAGTGCGGGGTGGGTGACGTGCATTTGGAAGACCACAAGGCCAGGGCATTTCACGGGCGATCATGCCCCACGGTGACCCACACACTTCCCCACGGAAGGCTCCATGGACGGGGACAGGAGATCCGCTGCCAGGCTGCAGGGACGCCAAACACCCACACGGCACACACAGAGAGTCCTTCCAGCTGCCAGAGCAGAAAAGAAAACAGAAATTCCTTCTTCCGAATTCCGCTGGGTGCTTTCAGGGACACCTCTGGGAGGGGGGATCAGCATCCCCGCTCCTTGGGACTTAACATGGCCTGGGTGAAACCAACAGTGCCGAGTCCCAAAGCAAAGCCGACGTGGGTGGGTGAAGACACGCCGTGTGTGACCACAAGGCTTCGTGGGCGAAGCGTCTCCCGGTCGCTGCCACGCGCCATCGCCCTCCAGCCCTGAGGGCCCGGGCTCTCACCCGCTGAAGGCCCCTCAGCGCCCCGCCATCGCCCTGCTGCCCTTTTTTCTTTGTTTTTTTCCCTCACACACGTCAGACATTTAGAGCAGAAAATGTTTCTCCGCCACGTCTATCATGATCCGGGCGGCCGCAGCAGGGCCGCTCTGCTCTGCCCTCGCCGCTCAGGTAACGACAGGCGTTCGCCTCCCGCGCCCGGAGCCGTTTCGCCTCCCTCAGTCCCAGCGAGCGTGTGTGGAGGAAGGGATTAGAACCCGTTTCACCCTCTTCCTCAAGGCGGTTACGCTTCCCTCCACACCAGCCCCTCACCGCCTTGCCCCACGCCCGCCCGCCGTGAGGAAGGGCCGGGGCTGGGCGGCTGAGGCGCCCCGGGGTCGGCGGGAAACTGGCGGGCGCCGAGTCGCCGGACCGGCCGGGCTCGGCTCGGCCCGGTGAGGGGCGGGAAGGGGCGGGGAGGGGGGGGGGGGGGCGCGGGGCGGAGCCGAGCCCTTCCCGTCTTCCCCACCCCGCCCGGGTCCCCGTGCGATGCGGAGGGGCGGAGATGGCCGCCGCCTGAGGTGGCCGAGGCGGCGCGGAGGGGAGCGGCGGGGGAGGCCGGGGAAGGTTCC